ACCCTTGATATCAGAGATTTTGTGACGGGGTGCTCAGTGTGCTAGCATAAGAAGGCCGTCCACCGTGTGCTTGCTGGACTCCTACAGCCGCTCAAGCTCCCAGAACAAAAGTGGGCAGACGTGAGCTTGGATTTTACCATGGGTCTTCCAAAATCAGAGAACGAGAACGACGGGATTCTTACTGTCGTAGACAGGGCCACCAAAATGGTGCACCTTGCACCCGTCAAGCAGACCATCAATGTTGCTGACACTGCCCGTGTCTACTGGACTACAGTAGGAAAACTTCATGGGATCCCACGTTCTATTGTGAGCGATAGAGACCCAAGGTTTATATCCAAGTTCTGGAAAGAACTATGGAACGTTCTGGGAAGCTCTCTGAGGATGTCCAGCGCATACCACCCTCAGACAGATGGTCAGACTGAGGCGATGAACAGGGTGGTTGAGATGGTCCTGCGTTGTACTTTGCATGCCGGGTAGGAGGGGTCGAGCTGGGATAAAATGCTGTCTACTGCTGAATTCGTGATCAACAACAGTCCGACGCAGGCCACACGATACACGCCGTTTTATCTGAACTATGGCTTCCATCTGTGTACACCCATGGACCTTATCCGGGATCACGACTCCACCATGATTGAAGGGGTCAACCAGTTTGTGGACCTGATCAAAAGGAATTTCTGACCGGCTCTGAAATTTCTGAATTGGGCCAAAGACAGGATGAAGTCCTAAGCTGACCAGAAGTGAAGGGAACTGAGGCTGAGTAGTGGGGATCAGGTGCTACTATCGACTGAGCATTTGAACTTGAAGAATGCACCTATCTGTAAGCTGAAGAGGCGATTCGTTGGGCCTTTCTTTGTGGTTCGTCAGGTGGGACCAGTGGCCTACGAACTCGACCTCCCTGAGAAGTGGAAGATTCACAACATATTCCACATCAGCTTACTGCGTCCTTTCAGAACCAGCCAGTGGGCGCACCCTACTCAGGAGGGTCAAATTGAGGACATCGAGCCCATAGAGGATGAGCCATATGATGTCTAGAAATTACTGCGTTGCCAGTGGGCAGGACCCAGTTCCAAGAGGCACAAAGAGTACTTAGTGCTCTGGAAAGATTATTCATTGGACGACGCTACCTAGACTCCATAGGAGAACTTCACTTACCTAGAAGAACTCAAGAAAATGATCAAGAGGGACCGGCCCATTGAGGACAACTAGGCCATTGGGTTTCGCTTAGATGTTTCGAGGGCGAAACTACCCCCCGGGGGAGTACTATTGTGTAAACTACTAGAGGGTAGCCGGTTTACTCAACTTATATACTGGGAAGTGATAATGGACACAAGATTGTATCTAGATGGGATAGAGAGGGCTATTAGCTTTCCATAGGTCTTTGAATCATCCCAAACGGGTTAGCGGTAGTGGAGTTATGGCTTATAGAAGTTCTAGTACTTACGGTTGGGCCCCTACCGTACCCGGGGATGAGATACTATCGATATGGTACATTCGATACGTTGTTCTGTCGATTGTGTACCGCTGCATATGGGGGTCATGTGACCAACCCCGCATGTTAGCCTGTAATTCCATTGTGCCCACTCTTGCCTCCCAGCGGCTGCACCCGCAGGCCGCAAGGCGCCGCGCGCACCCACTGCGCGTACGGCCACCCCGCGCCCGGCCATTCCGCAGGCCTGGGCCCACACTGCGCATCCGAAGACACGAGCGCCCTGCAAGGCCCGCCGGCCATCTGGCGGAGGGGGCCCCGCGGCCCCATCGGGCGCCTCGGCGGGCGCATCGCCCGCGAACACACCGAAAACCATGCCACCTTCTGTACAACTCCCTTGCACTTCACAATCTGAAAGAAACTCTTCACTGGTGCTATACCCGTCCTCCAAAACACTTGTCAATGACTTTTTTGTACAGTTCTTCCCCCTTGCCGATGCCACTGCCCACTTAACTTGCTCCTTCCGCAAGTTCTCCGATAGTTCTTGCCATATGAAATCGCCCGCCTCCTGAAATGAGCGTTGGCAGCCTGCCCAATGTGCTGCCAAAAAGGAGTGGACTTCCAAAGACAAATGGCGAGCCTCTAAAATGGAGAGAACGTGTAGCAGAAGGTCTCTCTGTTCTACCCAAACACGCTCAGTCGCAGTCCTTTTCACGAATGGAAGACCCTCGGAGGAATCAGCGTTTTCCTCGTCTTTCCTTCCCCTTTTCCGCAATTTCTCGGTTTTCTGACAGGTGATAGGTGAATGGCGATGAGTATTCTTTGAGTTCACCGCCTTGGAATCTCGCTGAACTTGTGGAACTCTACTGATTGCAAACATCAACTTCAATGACAGCTCGATGGACATTCACACTTGATTCCGCTCTAATTGATATCAATACCTCACCGTCCAGTACTTTATACCAACGGTTCTGATCAGAAATCACTCTTCCAACACTCCAATACACAAGGAGCACACACGCAACCACTTTTTCCACCTTAATCAACTCTTAAACATCAACATAGTGCAGTTACATTAGCTCCACAATCAGCGATACTTTATCCGTTTAGTTCCAACACCACACACCCGATACTCAACACTCCCTTCCTACTTGCCGGCCAAATCACTCCAAATCGCCCACTCTCAAGGCTTCCCCCTCCTTAAACCCATCCAATCCATACCGTTAGCCTTTAGGGTCAGGTTATAGGCCGCTCAATCCGCCACTTTTCATCTTGAGTTGGGGGTGCTGGGCGATTGGGAGGCTGGGGGGTAGAGTGCTGTCCAAATGGAACTACCCGCCAGTTTATATACCCTAGCGGCTGGTCACAACGCGACCCCCCGTTGCCATCGCCTCATGACACTTCCCACTGCGAATTTCACTCCAATTCGTAGTGTACAATGAGTTTTCCAGCCGCTCAGCCAGTTTACACGCCTCACCACTTCACTTGACAATGTTTATCATCCGCTTACTTCATCACAACCTAGTAATCCCTCCACCCCTTCGCACAACACACCTTCCCATTTCCAACGCCTTTTCCCATATGCTAAAACCTTATCTCATAGTTTAAAGTGCTTGGTTCAGGCAGCCGTCATACTAGTTTATTGCCTAAGTACTACCACATAACCAAATCCAAATTCACACCAAATCCCCTACAAATACCTCCTCCGGTACTCAAGACCGGTTTGTTTTTCACTTTCTAATGGCAGTCTAACAAAACGGTCTATTGGGTCAGGGGGGCCAAACCCATACACCCAAACTTGTTGGTCTTCATCGTACAAGAAAAAACTGCCGTTGGCTCCAAGGCCAATGTATCCTCCAGCCAGGAAACGCGTTGTGGAGCGCCTCCAACGCTTATGTTCAATTATGTCCCACGCCCCACGACCTATTCTAACATCGTTGACTATTCTTGCTCCGGTGAAGCTCTTGACCCCTTCCATTGCTTCCCTCAGGACGTGCCCACTTTTGAGCATAGCCCTTCCGCGCGTGACAAGAAGCCGCTTAGGTGAGACCAATTTTGATCGAGGCGCATCGAGCCATTCCTCCGAACGGCCAGCCCCAATGTCGGTCCACCCTTTGGGGACATTTTCCAGGGCCACCTGTGCAGGCAAGGCGGCATCGGCCGCTGCCGACCACTGCACACGAGCACCCTCCTCTAGGAGCTCCTCGTACAACTCTCCAATCACATCCTCGGAGGCAGCCTGGGTAGCCGGCGACATCCGCCCCCCATGGTCCGGACTTCCGCCCAACTCCCGCGCACCCAACTCGCCTGATTCGAGCTTCTTAAGGACGGCGTCTATCTTGCTCTCAAGGCGCAGTAACGTCCGCTCGTTCCGTTCCACTCGGCGCGCCAATTCCGCAACATCCGCTGAAGCAATTGCCCCTCCGAGCCGCGTGGGGGGACCCTTCGCTCCCGCTTCCTTGGCAAGGAGTGTATCAACCTCCGGCGTCAGCCCAGTCTGGCCGCCACGTTGGGCCATAGTTGCAGAGTGCGATCGCCGGATTGCGTGCTCGTTCACGTACTCTCAGTGGCCGTCCGCGTTCACCCAGGCAGGTCGCGCACACAGGCGGGGCAGCACGGCGCAGGCAGCTGACTGCCCGCTAGATGTAGCATCCCATTATCCGCGTAAATGGAATACATTTATCGGTATACATTTGGCACCGCGCGACTGCCACTGAACGGAGTTTCATTAACCCCAATTCCCGGCATTTGACCTTGTTGTTGGATTCTTGGTCATACTATCCCATGTCTATTGAGCTTGGAAGCAAGTGACCCATCCCAACATCCTAATCTTCCATTGTTTCATTGATTGTGCCTTTTCCGGGCACTTTAACAGAATCTAGTGAGAACATATGGTGCCATTTCACATCCAGCCCTTGTCTCCCTAGCCTTACACCGCCCTCGTTAACACTCCCAAGGTTTGCGGTTGTTTGCTCATAACCCATTTTCGGAGTGTTTGCTCTTTGTTTTCTTTTCTTTTATATCAGCAATGGTGGCATACTCGGGGCATCCCATGCAGCGTGCACAGTGCATACGGTAGAAACCCATCATATGCCAATTACATAAGTGATCCACCCAGTGAAAACGGTGGTGGCGTCACGAACACGTCATCATTTTGTTTACAGGACAAGGCACTGAGGCCGTCAGCTTCTATTCTGCCTGAGCAAAGCAGAACAAGGCTTAGTCACGTGCAGCCCCTCGACCTCACCAAACGCCCCATATCTGCTGACGCTGGGCAGCATCCCCCGCTTCCCGGGAGCTCCAGCCCTGGAGTGACCTCCCTTTACGGCAGCGCGGCTGACCTCGATGGGCGACTTGACCCCAGGACTGACACCCACCCCGCCAACGCCCCCCTGCCCCCACCGGTCCAGAAAAGCCTTCATCGGAGACCCGGCTTCGGCTTCGTGGAACCAGCAGTGCACCTCTCACCAGCAGGGCACGCAAGCCGTCACGCTCCCGGTGCCTTTCGCCGGTGCGCGGCCGTCTGCGGGTTGGAGGTCTTCGAGCGAGCGGCAGGGGCGGGCGCCCCGCCCAGATGGGCGCTTGGGCGGCGCGGGGGGTCCCTGTCGCGCTGCTGACGCTGCTGGCTGCCGCCCTCGTCCTTGTTGGCTGCGAGGAATCCAGCAGAGGTGAGGGGTGGCGCGATTTCCATGGATTTTGGCTCTGTTTGAGGCCCTTGCCGCCTACGCCCGTGAATCGCGTCTTTGTCGGTGGCTGCGAGGCTGGTCCGCCTGTCACGGGCAAAGCCCGTCGTAGACGCCGTTCCCTGGGTTTGTACTGCCGAGGGTCGAGTGGGCGCGACGCAAGCCTTGCATAAGCGTTTGGGCAAGTCCCGTCTCAAGCGCATTCGGGCGTTACCGGTTTGTTTGGCGGACGAACGGGGCTTCGCGCAGGAGTGGGCGGGACTCTGGTGTTAGAGGGTTGCTGCGGGTGGAGGCGCCTGCCCCGCAAGTGTGACGGATCGCACACACGTTACTATGCGTGACCGCGCGCCGCCCTGACGCCAGCCTCGGCCGCTGCTTCGCGCTGGCGGGCGCGCGGAGTTCTCCTGCGAGGACGGTGGCGCCCTGCGCCAATGCGACTGCCCGCGTGTTGCGTTATTACGCGTGACGACGGCCTGCCCAGGCCGCAGCCTCGGGCGCCGTTTCACGGGTCGAACTGCGCCAGTGCTGATCGGCGCGAGCCATGCACGACCGCTCCAAGAGCCGAACGCCCATGGATGGAGCCGGGTGCCGTCGACGCACGCCAGAGTGGCAGGCGCGGGACCGCCCCAAACCCTGACGTCTGATCGTGGCGGGAAGGGACGGACCTTAGCTGCAAGGGGTGCGCTTGCTGTGTCCCTAAGGTGAAATGCAGCCAGTGAAATTGGCAAGCCAGGACGCCTGCCGCTGGCGTGGCTGGTGAGCTCTGTAGGCTGATGTTCGCCGACTGCACATGAGAATCCAGAAATCCCGCTGCATCTGGCAGGCGAAGGGGCCTTGGCAGCATACGCCTAGTGTTTGCTGCCCCCAGACCTGCACTCTGAAGGTATTCTTTTCGTGTTTTTGCATCCTGGGGAGTGCCTGTATGTCCCTGCTGATGGCTTGTGAATTCAAGGCCAGATGTTGCAAGCCTTTAGGCATTCTGCTGGAGCTCCAGATGTGGCAAAGGTTGACCCATGTCAGCGAAACTAGGCTGACCTGTTGGCACCGCCCACCCACCCCTATCCCACCCTCCATTTTCCCTGTAAACTCCAAAACCTTATCATAAACCTGACAGGATGCAAAACAGATCGGAGCCCTGGCCTTGTGACCCATTGTTGCCATTATCTGCAAAGTGACAGCAGACAGTTATGCAGGAGGTTCCATGGAACCCCACCAGTTGATAGTATGACCTGAGAGCATTCATTGGATCGCTTTGGACATACCAAAATGCAAGTTTCATATTTCTGGATGTGTGGATGTTAGCTCCAAAATGGGCACTCGAGGACCTGTGCCAACAACTCTGTCTTGGTTTTGAGATCTTCCTGGCTTTTGTCGATATTACACAGCTACGTAGCTCTTGGGGCGCCACACTTGTCAACCCACACCCCTCCCACCACCCCCCTCCCCCCCGCCAAAAATTTTTGAAAAAAGAGGAAAAAAGAAACTAAAGGCGATGTTGAGCCTGAAAAATCACCTAGATGTCACCCCTAACAAGTTCACAGTGCTGATGGTACAGGGTGTACTGTGTTCAAGCAGCCGCGTAATATCTCCTTCCCAATGAAGAATAGATTGAGTAACTTAGACAAACCTGTGACACCTAAGGCCCATGCAAAGAATGCCTTGCAAATGTTGCAGCATTATTCTCAAAAACAAAATTTCTGGTGCCAGCACTGCTTACAGTTGTCTGGAGTGGCCATGCAGGGCATTCTTACAACAGAGGGAAGCAGCAGTTGCGGCGTCTTCAACAAGTGACCCCACTCCTTGGGGTGAGGACTGCAGACCACTGCAACACCAGTGCAATGTCGAACATGGCTTTGCCACCATCGTGGTCATGTTCTCCGCAACATTGACTACCCTCGCTGATGGCTGTGCTGTTGATTTCGTTTTGATTTAATTGATATTCATATTGATTTTCTATATTAACAGCATGGCTGCCAGAATGGGCGTGGCAATGTTGTGGCTGGAAGGTTTGTTGGTATGCGCTTCTGTGCTAGCAACTTTCTGATGCACACCTGAATGCTGTGAATTTGATGACCTGCAGTTTGGGAGCGATGCCCCCTGCGGACGATTTCCATTCATGGTCTCTTTACAAGACCAAGACAGTGTCCACAAATGCGGTGGAGTGCTGGTGCATCCAGAATGGATCTTGACCGCAGCGCACTGCATCGATGCAAGCTCTCCAACATCAATCGGAGCAACACCGACCATCGTCATTGGGCCCTGCAATCTTGACGGAGATGATGGCGATCCAGTGGAGGTGCGAATCTGTCCCATAATTTGCAACACATGGTAGATTTGTGTCATAACCTTTGCAGATCGCACATTTAGTGGCTGTAGTGCTGAGACCGTGTTGAAGGGTGATGGGGCAGCAGTGCAAACATTGCCAGCCATTGCGTTGAGCAATTCTGGTGCTGAGCACCGGTCGTGTTCACATGATGTGCGTAAGGGTGCAGCGCTGTGGTGCTGTCAACCCTTTTGTGGAGCAGCCTCAGAGTAATATGTAGTCAAGTCCAGGATCATCGAGGACATAGATGGCCCCAGATGTGGCCAGAGCCCGATGCCACTCAGATGCAGCTGTTGCTTGTCACTGTTGAAGGTTTTCACGCTGGTGGAACATTATGTGGTAATTGTATCACTGCTCAGCATTTTGCTAGGGTATGAAAACGCATTTCTTTCCTTCTCATAAACTATTGCCACGCTCAACATAGGGGAGGTTGCAGTACCCTCATTTATATCCTCAATATTGAATGATAGATATATTGAGAATGCGTGAATCCTGGGTGAGTCCATGTTCTGGATATGGCACTCGTGCTCATGAAAGTGACCAGATCCTGGGTATGGATATCCTGTACCCACAATGATTTTCTTGGACCAAAGCGAAATCTGCGCTGTGCATTGAAACTGCAACATGTTTTCAGGGAGGAAGCACATTTCTTGTTGCCTTTGTGCCTGTGAACAACAGCCTGCACTCTTCGCTGTCAGCTTCGGTGCGTCTTGCCTTTGTTGTTGCTACATGCATGTTGGCCACTTGAGGGCAACATCGAGACTTTGATCTTGCTGACAGTTTGTGAGGCAAATTCACTACGAGAGAGCACTGTTGCAAACCCGGGTTGCCTTTTATGTGCACCTGGAAAATTGAACGACTGAATGTTTATGTTTGTCCTTATTACCATCGAATCCGCGTTTTTGCTCTGCGACATCTCTTTTGGGGCAGCTGGCTGGGACGTTGTAGTTGGGCAACCTTTTTGGCACAAAACTCAGTACTGTGTGGCACTGCTGTGCAGCTTATGTATATAGCTTGGGCTACGCCACACCATTGTCCATGGAGTGCCGTGCTACCAATCGCTGCCATTGCGCATTTTCCTCATCACCTTATCACACCCGGGGCACATGCTCTTCGATTCCAAGAACATGTGGAAATTGGCATGTGTTTTCTTCGAACTTTGCGGAAATCTTCCCCATTTTTGTTCCAAGTTTAGATTTCTTCAGATTGTTTCAATTCTGTTGCGTTTTTCCACAGGAACCCCAGCCCGTGCGCACCTTCATACCAGACAGTTGGACCGGCGACGTCCGGGAGGGGAGCGACATCGCCCTGGTGCGCTTCAGGCCGCCCTCCATCCACGTGCCCGTCGGCATGCCCGTCAGCGGACACGCGGTGGACGGCGGCACGAGGCTGGTGGCCCTGGGCTGGGGAAAGCAGGAGGCGAGCAGCACGCGGGATGAGAAACAGCTCCAGATGGCGGACCCCATGAACTTCGTGGAGGTCGCGGACTGCAACGGAGAGGACGCCAATCAGTACGGCGGGTTCATTGACGATTCGATGGTGTGCGCATTTGGCCTCGAGGGGCAGCAGATCTGCCAAGGTACCCCGGCGCGTGCGGTGCATGCATGTGTCGAACGCACGGGTTCCCAGCGAGCAAGAGTGCGAACGCTGCTGAGTCCCGCTCCTGTGATGTTTGTTTGTTCCTTACATGGATGCATCGACATGACGTCACGGCATCAATCAATGTAGCGTACCATCCAGTGTATGACGGGCACGTCCAGGCCCACTCATACCCGCTCTTGTGATGTACTGTGCTAATGTACCAGCACAACAATTACCGCGGGGCCTGTCCGGGGATGTGGGGTGGTTTGAGGCTGAAAGGTGGGAAAGAGGCGCTGGAGGCTGTGGGTGTGCGCAGATCGTCGGAAGAGATGCGCTGCGCCCATCCTGGATGTCATGGACCGGGAGCGACTGCATAGACGCATGCATCACCATACATAGCAAAACCAGCATATTGCATTTGGAATTTAGTCATTGCGTACGTAACTGATGGTGACCTAACATGATCTCAGGGCAGATGGATTTGCCACTAGGAAAAAAGGGCCAAATAACACGCGCTCAAACGTGTACAAAGTGTACGGGTTTGGGTCATTTTCGTGTTTTAGCCTGCAGAACGCTGATGAAATGCATGTATGTGTGTTCGCAAAAAGTGCTATTTCGCCCTTTTTTTGTTAGTGTACGCGGTTTAGGACTGGCACGTGCAAGTCCGAAGCTCTGCTTAGTTGTTACTGCGCAGTTCTTGTTTGCGAACTGATGTTTGTGATGATCGATTCATGGATCGCCCTCACGCAAAGCATATGACGCTTATTTCTTTGTGTTTCTTTTACTATTACTAACAGCGGTAATGTCAAGCGTTATGAATAATAATAATGATAGTAGTGAATGAAGCTCTTCATGAACCTTGTGCTGAGAAGACTGCCGGCAAGCCAGGCGCTGAATTGGCGCTGAGTGGCTAATTGACGCTCGCCCTGTCCACCCCAGCGCCGTTATATCTGTGTGCGCTTCCCCAGGTGACAGCGGTGGCCCCTTGCTGCAAGTGAACAGCAAAAATTCCAATATTACAGCGGGCGCCCCCAACAGAGACCTCGTGGTGGGCATAGCCTCTTTCACAGAGGACACCAAGTGCGGAGAGTCGAGCAAACCGGCCGTCTTCACGAATGTTGCGAGCTTCCGAGACTGGATCGAGAGCCACCTGGCGGTGCGCTGTGGCCCATGCAACTGATGAACAGTGGCCCGATTTGCCTACTGCGTCCATACCTCTGTTGCCGTTGCACATATCAGAGGCACTCGAAGTGTTTCCTGACCATTTCTGTGACAAATCCAATACAAGTCGCATCCAGAAAAAATGTGGGGCCACACGGGCTTCTACAGGTCCCATGACGTAATTCCTGTCGACCAGCGATGTTACTCTCCCAGAGATGCTACCAGACTAGCTCACCATAGCAGGTGCATCACTGAATAGCTTCCAGAGCGAAAGGCTGCCCGCTGCCAGTACAGTGGTATTGTTGGTACTGCTCTTGTGGCGTGTGTGACGAGATTGCAAAACCTCAGAATTTCTAAGATAAGAATTTAGTGAGGATTAGCTAGGATTTTGTGCCTTTGAAATGAATGCTGCCATGCAGATGTCAGAAACGGTACCTCCACCAGCATCACCATTCCCCCAGCCACCGCCGCCACAACTGCCAACGCCACCGCCACCGCCACCATCACCACCGTCACCAGCACCTGCACCGGATCCTAGACCTCCTGTGGGACAACCACCGGTACGTGGCACAAAAGACATGCACCTCCTTGTATCCCCTGAGCTTTTGCAGCCATAAACAAGGGCTCAGGAGTGTGCCTTTGTTGCACAATTTCGAACCGTGCTTGCCCCTCATTGTCATGCCATGCAGGGCATTTTCAACAAGAGGGTGACATTGTTTATCAGCTGAATTTGTCAAGAATCCTGCAGCCATGCTTTTCCACGTGTTGAAAGGCAATAAGTATTGTTCACCCTGCCCGTTTTTCTCAGTGCTACGCACAGCATTGACCCAACCATGATCACTGGCGTTTGCAAAGTGGATACACAGTCGCACGCAAGATGTGGAGTGACTGTGCATACGCATCTGTTTCGGGTTTTTGCCAATCGTATTGTAAACATGCATTGGACGCATCTTATTGAACATTTCTGATTGCCTTACCATGCTGAATGTGTCTGAAACATGCGATTCACCGCATGGCGATTATGGAAATCTTGTTCCCTCGAAGCTGGAAACTTGATATGCATCAACGCCATCAACGGTTGCCAGCGCTAATACATCCGCCACATTGGCGCTTGCCCCTGTATCTCATGGAGCGCGTCTGCAATTCCTATATGCAGTGCCCATTCAGGAACGACTCCCGGCCAAGGGCCGTGGCGCTGACGAGCGGCGATTTCCTCATCGCCGCCCCCGAGGACGACTGCTGCCTGCTGTGCCTCACGACGCCTGGGTGCACCAGCTGGACTCGCGGCGAGACCAACGGCGAGTGTGTCTTGGAATCGGACAGCGGTGTGCAGCCCAAGGCAAGTGCTCAAGTGGATGCCATCCGCTCTTGCCATTGTCAAGGGTGCGATCTTTTGGAAGTTGCAACGAAGGATTGTGGTGCTTTCATGCAGTTTCCTGCTGTGCTCGCTTATGGTGTTGTGTGTTGTACTGCATTGGGTTACAGTGGTGTTGTACATCGGCCACTCTCTGTTAGCAGTTCTGTACTTTGTAGTTCGGAAGTGGTCGTGAATAAAACTGCGTGAAACGCGAGCACATTTGGAAGGAAATGGCATGTTTTCTATGGATAGAAGATGTGTACATTACTTGACTCATCCGCTAGGAATGCGGTCATTGTGCATTCCTTCAATAAATTGAAGAAAAACGCTCTCCAGACTTGGCACTTCCCTAGCTTAAAGCTAGCTATTCTACATCTAGTTGCTGTTAATTCTTAATCTTTGATGGTATTTTTTAGTTCAAAATCGTCGTGCGCTTCTATTTATTTTCGCCGCATCGTCCGATACAGCGAAAGTAAATGGAAATGCGCGAAGACAATGGATTACTGCAGGAAACGCGCACTGATTGAAATTGTGGCGATTTGTCGGATCGAGTCCTTGTCAACAACAATTGCAAATCATCAAACCTCCTGGAGCTCCCTCACGTGCGCTGGGCCCCGAAGCCACGCAGCTGGCCAGGCATTGCTTTTGACGACAATCGGGCATACCAATCTGCTTCATTGCCTTCAATCTTCACATCCCCGCGAGTTCTTTGGTGAAGAAGCCCCCCCATCCTAGGTGGGGAGGAGTCGGGGCAAGCATGTCCTGGACGTCGAATATGATAGCCCATATCTGGGACATGCATATCCAGGACATGCAACAGTTTGCCGACGTTGTTGTTCGGTGGCGTAGCCTGAGTCCTTTGGGTGTGTTCGTGTGTGCAGGCGCCGGCGCTCGCGCCAGCAGGAGCAGAGCCAACGGCCGTGACGCCGTCACCAGAAACAGCACCAGAGACGCCTCCTGAGCAGGCGCCGCCGCCCGTGCCGGTAAGAATTGTAGCATGGCTCCCGTTTTTGATGAAAGCGATGACGAAATGTGTCGCTGACACGAATTGTGCTGCATGACCATCACGATGTGAACGCGCAGGCGCACGGTGTCAATAGTCTGTGTTGCTCTTTGTCCCAGTTGGCGTGAACCTGCCGCGAGATGTGGTGACATGCAAGGCTGTCTAAAGGACGTCGACATCCCCACGTCTCGGGCACCGATGGAGGGTTTACGGGAAGCGGATGGGCATATCCAAACTGTCATTTTGATAGAATGCTATTTTCGGAGATGCGGACACACCTCGGATTTGACTAAGGAAACAAAACCTTACATTGTCATTATTGTCAGTTGAGTCAAGTGTCAGATTGGTGGTCATGTTGCTGTGGAATGCCAGGCACGCGCTTTCCGCCCCAATGAGAGTGGCTGTGCAATTGACAGCAAATTCGTACTCAACGGATGTGAACATTGATCATACGTCCGCGTGTCCAATCGACGGAATCAAGGAATACCTAGGTAGTGACAATGCTGCTAAACAGGAACGCAATGGTGAATGGCATCTTTCAGGACGGCAGTTCTGCGCATGCAGACGGCATAGAGTGTGTCTTAGCATGACATTATCGTCGCGTCGTGGAGGCGACTGTGTCACTCGTTTGTACGTCGTGACGTGCATGACGGGCCTATAAGCCAATTGCTGTGTCCAATGCGCTGATGAGCTATAGACGTGGTGTGAGGCATGGATTCCTGGGTGCTTATGCACGGAAACAAGGAATGCCAGACCAACTAAGTTACTTTATTGTTGTTTGTACTTCTACCTATCTGTGGCTACCTATATTCAGTCGAAGTTTTGTTCAGCTGGTGCTTTTTATTGTGCAGGTGGCGGCTGCATCGCCACCCCCTGTCCCTTCGCCGACGCCGACGCCAACGCCGACGCCGACGCCCCCGCCACCATCACCGTCACAGGTTGCAATTGATGCGGTGAGAATTTTGAGCTACTGTACAGTTGCGGGTTTGTTAAGGGCCCTGAGTTCTATGCAATCCATTGTACTTCTCAAAGCCGCTGTTATCTGGGCAAGGGGCAGTATCAAGACGTCCTTTGCAAGTCAGAGCGCTAAAGTTGTGTGAGGGCCTGCAGTGTTGTGGATGTAGGATTTCGTTTGGCCACGTGTCGGCGTGTAGCCACATCCCACTCTTGGCAGCATGGCTCTGCGCCTTTGGCGCTGCCCCTTCCGTGCAGCACTTCATTTCGACTCTGCCCAATGACCTGTTGATGATGATGCACAGTGAAAAATTTAATCAACGGAATCTGATGAACGGGGACCCAGTCTCGAATCCATGGCAACGGTTCACAGCCGAGCAAAGGGACAACAGAAAGTTTTGCCCCTTGTATCCAGTCCGTTCATTAAGGTCCTAAATGCAGCTCCTAATGATTCATCACCTCTTTATGCGTTCACCTTTAATAGTATTCAGTCAGTTCCAGTTACCAACAATATCGATGACAAATGTGGTCGATGTGCTGCCGATGACTATGAATCTGCGCCGCAGAGCCTGTGGAACGCCGCCGGCGCCGGAGACGTCGACGCGGTGAGGGAAGCGCTGGCCGCCGGTGGCGACCCCGACAAGCTGCAGGGCAGAAACGAGAAGATGACCGCCACGGCCAACGCGGCGCTGCACGGGCACCTCGAGATCGTCTCGGTGCTGGTTGAGGCCGGTGCGGACGTGAACATCCAGGGCGCACCGATCGGCGCCACGCCCATATACCTCGCCTCGCTGGAGGGCCACGCCGACGTCGTGGACGTCCTCATCGACGCCGACGCCAATCTGGACGTTCAGACGCTCAAGGACGGCCGCACACCGCTGTCGTCGGCGTCTCAGAACGGCCACGCCCCTGTCGTCCAGGCCCTGGTAGTCGCGGGCGCGGACGTCGGGCTCGCAATGACCGGCGGCAACGGCCTCACCCCCCTCATGCTGGCCTCCTTCATGGGCCACTCGGACATTGTCCAGATCCTGCTGCTGGCGGGGGCGGACCCCGACCAACAGAACGACGTTCTCGAGACGGCGCTGCACTTCGCTTCCAGGACGGTCGGGGCGGACAGCGAGCTGGTGGTGACTGACCTGTTGGACAACGGGGCGGACATCGATGTGGAGGATTTGCTTGCGTCGTACACGCCGCTGGGGCGGGCGGCATATTACGGGAACGCCGGGACTGCCAGGGTGTTGGTTGATCGAGGCGCAGACTTGAACAGGGGAGGGGCCACGCCCAGGGAGCTGATATGCGAGTGTCTGAGGCACGACGAGTGCACGCCGGGGGGGTGCGATCAACCGGAAATCGAGGAAACGATGCTTGATGTTTTGGGGGCTTAGGTTTAGGGTTTAGGGTTTAGGACGGGGATGGGGGCCGTAAATCGAGGAAACGATGCTTGACGTTGTTTTGTGGCTCAGGGAGGGGATGGGGGCTTGGGGGGGGCAGTCTTTGGTAGGTGTCGGCCGTGGGACTTGTTTTGGAGGATGCTTGGGAGCATCATTAGGCAGCACCTGCGCATGCACACAGCAGCGTGTTTTTGGAAATGAGGCTACGCCAATCGCGATCCCTTTGCCCGGGAATCGAATCGGGCCACTGGATGTATTATTTCACTATTTAATGCTTACGGTTATTGAGTGCCCGGTGTGGCCGTCAATTGGTCTATAGCGTCCTATCCATCGCCGCTCGGGATGCACTGGGATTCGGCACCAATATGCCGAATTGTATGTTGCCCTTGTCGCCAGCAACATTTTGCGACACAACAATTTACGCTGTCGGCAGGGCTCGAATCATCTGACTAGTTTTTCGTGTCCTAATATCCAATAGGTCGCCCTGCAGCAGCTGTCCACTGGGTTTTGAACTGATTGATGCCATGGGCACTGGAGCTTTTAGCACAGGCAAGGCTGTAATGGATGCGTACTGGTCATTTCAACATTCAAGCAAATTTTTGACCATCGAGCGAAGCACACTTCAAAGCATATTTCGCCTGCTCGTGCATCCACTACCAGGCTCAGGACGTCTACCGTGTAGCAATGTTGACCACGCGGGTGGCGAGCAGATCAAATGAATTTATGTGTGTTATAGAACACGCACTTGGATGTGCACATGCCCCTCATCGATTGCAAGGTGCAAGTGCACCGCTCAGCCTCTTCGAACGCAGTTTAGGCTACACATGAGCAAGTATCACAGCCGCCGCCGTCACCAACTGCCAAGGGCTGGTTATCCATAGTGGGCAAGGTTGCGGTAGCCCGGAAATAGGGTGGGAGAATTCGATTGACTCGAAGGTGAGTCTGTGAGCACTGTGTGCTAGTCTTGCCGGAGGAACGCACAGGCTGTGGGGCCAAGGGCCCTTGGGGCCTACAAGCTTGACTGGACGACTTTCCATGGCTCCGAGCGAGCTGCAAGTGGCGAGGCCGCCTCAGGAAGGTGTCAGGAGCCACACTGCACTTCGCTTTCTCTCCCTCCTGCCCATCACTGTGATTTGGATGTTATGATGGAATATTTGACATGTTTCTCGGTCTTTGCTTTTCTGGGACCGAAAAAGGCAAACTCACCTCGGGGTGAATGCACCCAAAAAATGAACATCAGTTGTGGGTTGTCTGGACATGGTTTTGATGTATTTCGCGTGCGCGACGAGCTGGAAAAGTGATTGTAATTGCTTTTGCCGGCGTGTGCCCTGGGTGGGCAAATTTGCAGGGCTGGACGTAATCAACTGTTACGACTCCGCGAGAGGGACCCCGCCCCGGGAGTGTTGTGTGGCCACCGCCAAACGGCAGCGCCCCGCGCCCCACGTGGGGGCGCCTTTTTCCCCTCCCATCGACCACCCCCGCTCTCGGTACTCCTTCCAACCTTTACGTCACGGCAACGGCCGCTTACCGCGGGCTTACCTCCGCCCATCCGCTCCGAACATTCCGGCCCAGCCGGCCTACAAAAGCGCCCACTCCGGCCCCAATTCGACACAAATCCAATCTGCTACCGAACAAGCGAGCAACATGTCGGCGACCAAGCCGGTCTTCGCGACTTTGGCCCCGAGTGGGGAGGCCCGCCCGGCGGCCGCGCGGGCCCCCGCCATGGCCTGCAGCGCCCTCACGGTGCGGTTTCCGGGAGGAAGGCGTCGGAGAGCGGTGTTCAAAAGGAATGAGTCCGTGGTCAAGGGACTTGGAAAGGCGGGGCTGTTGCCCGCTGGTGTGGGCATGGGGCTCGTCGCGACTGGGACAGCCGGCCGAGGAGGCGGGATGGCGGGCCGGAGTGGCGGGGGGTGCGGGGCGGCGTGCTCTCCGGTGTGCAGCGCCGGCGTCGCGCACAGAAAGGGGTCCAAACAGGTGCGAAGGGACCGAGTCCTGTGACAAGTCTTGCGGTGCGGGTTTCCATGTGTATGGACCAACTCCGCTTCCTGCTGCGGTAAACTGAGGCGAATCAACTCGCCCTTGAGTGGACACACCCGTGGTGGGCGGACCACGGCGCGTGTCGTCCAGGGAGGCATCCGTCGATGGGAACGGCGGCGCCTCCGTGGCGGGGAGCGAGGCCGGCGCCCGGCGGATGCCAATGGCTGAGCGATGGGGCATTAGAGGTCGCCATTGCCGACTTGGGCTTGCATAACTCAACGTACCCAGTTGGTGGGGGCGTCCTGCTGGCATCGTTCGGAATGCGAGCAGGACGCGCCGGTCTCTGCTACCAACGGCGCCGTGGTCGGAAGGGACCGACCCGGACCGGTCCACGGGGCGGACAGCTGCGGACGGGGGCGGACAAAGAAGGACGGTGGAAGGGGGGTGGACAACCATCGGTGCCCCAGCGTCCTCTTTGCGCACCGGGTGCCATTGATGGGGGACCTTCCCGATTGGGTCGCGCAGAATCTGGAAGCGGCGGCCAACGGTCCGAATGCCGCGCCGGTCGAGCGGGACCGACCCGGAAACTCGATCCCGCGCGGCCGTCAATAGGGGACGGCGGGGCACCGGGCACTCCAGTGTGGGGCGGGAGTGCAACCGCGGTGCCAGATCGCCGCCGCGCGGATGCGGAGAGGCTGTGGGCCACTTTCCATTTCCCGCCGCCGGGGCGGAAGCTGGTTGGCGCCGGCTGCTCAACTCCAGGCGATGTCTGGTCTGAACAAGACCACGTCCGGGTCGGCCGGCGCCCTACCGAGTCGGCAGTCCGGTTGCAAATGGGCGGCAGCAATCGGAAGCGGATCTCGGCGTCAATGTTTCGTTGGTCAGCCGATCCAGCCCTGGGGGTAATTGGCAGGCGGCGTCCGCGGCCATGATGGGAGCACTGCGGCCTGGAGGCCGCCGGCACGGCTCCGAGCACTCGCTGGGGCGGCCACTCCCGCTTCGGAAGCTCCCCCGATGCAATTCGTCACTCCGGAATCCCAGCCCAAGGGGGTGTCCTTCGCGCGACTCGCACCTGGCCGCCGTTTCCACGCTCAGGCGCTTAAGAAATGGATTCCCGGCCGTCGATCATGCACCGCCGAAGCTATTGGCCGTGGGCGCTGCCGTCATGCCTGCTCACTATCCCAATCCTCGAGGGGCTCTCCGACTCGGAAAGGGTCGCATTCGATGGCCGATGAGGCAGATCCGAGCGCCCCGCTCGCCGGATCTGGGCCCCGCTACCTCCGGCGAACGCGATTCTGCAAAATCTGTCCGCGATCCACTGCAGTGCCCCTCCTGGCTGCCCGCTCCCCGCGTGCAGCATGAAAGTCGACCGTCCGCGTCGGAGCGGCTTCCCCAATCGGAGGCCGGGTGCCTGCGGCGGCAGGCGCGGTCAGCACAGGCCTGCCGCGCTGTTGAAACCCCGGGAGCCGTCGCCGGGGGCACAGAAGTGGAAAATACAGCAGAGGGTGGCGGGCTTTGGGGGGCTTTGGTGGAAGGAAGCGGATGGTGACGCTTTACGTCAGGAGCTTGTTCACAAGTTCAGTGACGCCCTCCAGTCGATTAGATGAATATTTGCAAACTGCGTGGCATCCTTGCATTCCCATCGTTCAACGAATTGGTCAGTCCGAGTGTTCGCGTTCTTATTTCCCGTCCGGCCATCTTGCGAGTAGTTCCGTTGTTCAACTCGTCACATTTTGCGATGATCTCGTCCATGCAAAATGGACACAGCTATCTATGAACTGGCAGATACGTGCCTGTGTCTGCAGTGCGTGAGTTGGTCCGCGCAGAGGTCTACAGCTGCAACACCTGCTTTGATCGCGTCCTGAGTACCCTGCTTGTGCTGTCAGGATGTCGATTGGGGGAAGCTCATCGGCTTCGCTGTGGCCGCTTGGCCGAGCCTCTCCTTCAGAAGGGACGAGCAGCCCCTCATCTCCTACGACACTGAGCGGCCCGCTCCTGTGGAGAGCAAGAGGCCGCCGGGGCCGAAGCCGCGCGTGGTGGTGTTGGGATCTGGGTGGGGCGCCGTGAGCTTCATAAAGGCGCTGTCCCACGAGGCGTGGTCAGTGATGCCTTCTGCTGTGCCAGGCCTTCTGACAAGTTTGCTGTTTGTCGGCAATTGCAACTCTTGTGTCGTAGTTTGCTGCCGGCTTATTAGCCACGCGGTGACGAAACTTTGTCCTTGCGCCGTCACGGCACTCGACGCATCGTCCGTCGACACCTGATTGCGCAGCAACAAGCACGCAGTGCGCAGCCGGCCCATTTCATCATTTGACTGTTATTCATTATTTCAATACTTTGTCCCGTGTTTCAGTGGTTCATCAGAACGGATACACCCCCTGAACCGCAGCGTGATCCCCTGTTTTTGTCTTGAGCAGAAGGACACTTGAAGGAGTCAAAACTAGGGGCCTTTCGAGCAGGGCCTCCTTTGTAAGGATCCCTCAACAGGTCCAGGCTTCAAAACCGCACCTCTGCTGAGCTGGCGCCTCTGTGCTTGACGAGCGCATCGACGGCGCCACCAGCGCCGGTGAGGAAACACACGCCTGGAGCAATGGTCAGGTGTTGTGAGGGCGTTGAGGTTGTTGAGACGGCTTTATTCGGGCCGAAGGGTGTCTCCACCGCGTTTCGGCGGCGCGCTGCTGACATGTTTCAGACGAGTTCAGTCGCGGGTTTGGCTCGTTTGGGGTTCGACCAAATCGCTGTAAGCGAAATGTTGTGGACGACACGTCATGGCCCAAGGACTGGCCGGCCACATCCCAACAGTGGCATTTGCCCCTTCGCACGTCAATGCGGCATCCGCGATTCCTATTTATGCGCAATCCATGCGCATTGGCAAGTCCCCTGTTCTTGCGACTCCAAAGCAAGTTCAAAACAAATTGGAATTTCATGAAATTTAAAATGCCCGCCTCGTTCTCAGAGTGCGGCTGTTGTCCTGGTTCTGTCTGTTCCCACTTTGTTTGACCTCACTTGCATTGCTGGTGTCCGTCACGGAAATTGAGCCTTGCGTTACGGCAGACCTCCGATACTCGCTCGCTATGTTGCTGGGTTGCTCCTTGCCATGAATACGTAAGCATGTCCCGTGTATATGTATGTCCCCTGCCCCGAAAACCGCTCCATGGCATTGACCGCGACGCCATTCCACTGCCCGCGCCCTTGCGCTAGGAAAAAAGGGCCAAATAGCACGTGTTCAAACGTGTACAGAGTTTGCGGGTTTGTGCTATTCTTGTGTTTTTAGCGTGCAGAACGTTCATGAAATGGGTTTTATTCGTGTTCGCAAAAGTGTTATTTGCCCCTTTTTCTCCTGGTGTTGTGCTCGCTGGCGGAGTCTGGACTAACCAGCGCCACTGTGATGCAGCGAGAACTACGACTTCATCCTGGTCAGCCCTCGAAACTACTTCCTGTACACGCCGCTGTTGCCCGCCGTGGCCACGGGAACTCTGGAGGAGCGGTCCATCGTGGAGCCAATCCGCAACATCGTCAGGGGCAAGGTAAAGGGGGCCTGGCAAATCCGCTGGGAAGGAGCTCGACAGTCCGCGATGGTCCGCGGACGTTAGGTGTATGGGATGATCGGTTGTGCGCTGCTCATGTCGTTATCCTCGTAGGTGCGTTTGCCACATGACAAAACAAAATCTCGCGCACCAAACTGGCGACGTGGGGCAATGGTCCCGCGTGCTTTTTCTTTTGGAACCCGCAACGTTTGTTCAAGACCACGGCTGCTCTTGTTGCTCTTAAGGATTTGTGCCGAAGACGCTCAAACAACATGGGAAATTGTTGTGGAACGCCTTCCACAGGCGTGCGGGCGCCCTTCTCATGAATTCCTGGCAATTCGGTGTGTTTGCGTTTGTGTGCTGAAGCGTGTCCGGTTGCCGACAGGCCCGGTACATTGAAGCGATGTGCTCGTCCATCAACCCGGAGAAGCGCGTGGTGGTCGCGTGCTATCCAGACGACGCTGGGAACGACAAGGCCTGCTTCGAGATTTCCTACGACACCCTGGTGTTTGCGGTGAGTCGGCGCACCGCGCTCTTCTGGACCGCGGTTTTTGCAGTGTGCACTCCAACCCGCGCTTTCTTGAATCTGACACACGGTATGGGTTGGTCACGAATAGGGCAACAGTTGGATGTCGGAATCTTTGGAACGCGCATCCAGAGAAACTGTTTTCACGAAAACCCGGGAGAGGGTATCATGTGATGCCGCTTTCTTAGATGTTCCCAAACTCGGACACCGAGTTTGCAGAAAGCTGACGCGGGGGGCCATGCGGCGCGCAGGTGGGCGCGCAAAACAACACTTTCGGCGTCGAGGGTGTCAAGGAGCACTGCTTTTTCTTCAAGACGGTGGAGGATGCCCATCGCCTTCGGCGCCACGTGTCGGTGTGTTTCGAAAGAGCGTCGCTGCCCCAGACAACCGAGGAGGTGAGGGCTGGATCCCGTTATCTGTGCTGGAGCACAAAGAATCGGAAACAAGGCCGATGGGCCGCGGCCTCCTCCTCGATCACCATCCGATGGAGTGTGGCGCTTGGTCGGTGTGTTTCGCGAGGATCCACACATGAAAGTGCAGGTTGAAAAAAGCGTGCGAAACGCATTTTGATCATTTTGGGGCGCTTTCTTCAATTCAATATGCGGCACCACATTCAACACAACACATTTATGCACGTGACAGCCAAGTAAAGCACGCGGCGCACTTCAATGCGACGGTCGCATTCGAGCGCAAATCGCCGCAATTGCGAGCGATTTCCAAATCGCTTGCCTAATTAATTGGTTAAATCCAAGAAAACCCGAATTTAGCGCGGGAATGAGCCCAGTTTTCGCCAGTGTCCCCCCTTGTTTGTGTTATGCATTAGATTCAATGAGCTGATCATGGGCGCTGCTTTGCTCAAGCAAGATAGAAAGCTACCTCATCGCCTGAAAGGATGTGAAAAATGAACGAGTGCAAATGAATGAATAACTTAAAAAATGAATGAAAATATGAACGAATGAATGACGATGACGACCCCCTGGCGCTTCGCCTCCGCAGGAGCGTCGCCGCCTGCTGTCGTTCGTCATCGTGGGCGGCGGGCCCACGGGCGTGGAGGTCGCGGCCGAGCTGCACGACGTCATCAACGAGGACCTCTCCCGCATGTACCCCGACCTCGTGCCCGCCGCCTCCATCAGGATCGTGGACGGCAACGACTACGTGCTGAGCGCCTACGACCGCCGCATCTCGCACTACACGGGCGCCGAGCTGCGGCGGGAGGGCGTGGAGCTGGTGATGAACTCGCGGGTGAAGGCCATTGGGCCGGGCGCTGTGACGATCAGCAGGTCGGGGGAGACCGAGGAGCTGGAATACGGGACGTGCGTGTGGGCGGCGGGCATCGCCAAGAACCCGCTGGTGGGGCAGCTGCAGGAGGTGCTGCCGGAGCAGGGGCACCCCAGGTGGGAAAAGTGGCACGGACAAAACTGGGCGAAATTTCTAACAATACAACAGCGAAGTTAATGAAAATCGACATAATGGAATGTTTCGCTCCATTTCGCCACCCTCTCATTTCCTGTTATTCCTCAAACTTGAGAAACAATAAAAAATGATGATGTGAAATGATAGTATTGTGGGTAATGCTGCTCCGCCACGGTTTCCCGATTCTGGGAGGGTTACAAAGTGGGGTGCGTCGAAGAGGACGGCGTGGCTCGTTTCTGAAAGGCGATATTCGACAGAGCGAGAGGGATCAGAGCTGGAAGGAATTGTGTTGAATGATATGTGCGGGATGGCACAATTTGGGCCATTGGCGACAACAGTAAGCAGTGATTTTGGCAAACGTCTTTAGTTGAGAGGCGTTGCCCCATTGGCGGTTGACCAACTGGGAAGGTTAGAGGATTATTTGCAAGCGTGTGCCTGATTTCTTTGCGGTTGAATGGGTGCGCAGAGGCAGTACATGAAATAGTGCGTCTTTCTCCCAGGCCTGTCAATCTGCAACACGGCAAATGGCACCAAATCCGGCATGACGCGTTGCGTTCCAGGCATATGTCTGCACGGCGCGGTGGAATCGCGGCCGCCCAAAAGCGCATCGGAATATTAACATTGACGTTCGAGGTTGTCACTATGCTATGGTGCCATTGTTCACGGGTGCAGGATGCTGTTTCATAGATGCAACAACTAGTGCTCGATTGTAGGCAACAAGCACAAAGAAGCACAAAGTGTACAAACATGAGCAAATATGAGCTGTGTTTTGGGCATGTTCTGTGCAAGCCTGGGCCTCGGCAAACATGAGACTGCCGCCACCGGCGATTTGTTTACCCGAGGCGGGCATGCTGCTTCCGCAACCAAGGGCAAAATAGACGACTGGGCTGCCTGCGCGAACAGGTCCATTGTCACCGACGGCCACCTTGGCGTGAAGGGCAGCAGTGGCAGGATATTCGCGGTGGGCGACGCTGCCACAATCGAGCAGGGCCAGGCGCTGGGGCATGCTGATGAGCTGTTCGCTCGAGCGGCAAAGGGCGACAACGGGTGGCTCACCATCAAGCAGCTGAGGAACGTCCTCTCTGAAGCTAGCACCGAGTTTCCTCAATTCAAGTCCTACGAGAGGCTTTTCAAGTGTTACGGGTGTCAAATGAGGTGAGCGCTTCCGGGGGGGCAGCCAGACTGCTTGCTCTTTTCGAAGATGATGGGCATGAGCAAGGACCCGAAAATGGCGCCCATCGATGGTGTGCGTCCACAAACCAGACGCGCGAGAGTGTGCGCACTGCTTTGTGGAACGAAGCCAAGATTGGAATGATATGCGCATCTTGCGTCAAGCAGGCAGCCTCCGTTGGCTGAAAAGCAGGCGCTGCCAAGCGTGCAATACCAGAGCACAGAATGCCAGGAGCACCAGTTCAGGAGAGAGCGCACCATGCACGACTTTTGTTTGTGAAACCATGTCCAATGTCCGCCGCGCTCTTGAAATTGCGAGGACGTTGCGCAGCCGAATTCCCGACACGCAATATATGAGTCATGAGTAATTGGGTTGTTCGTAAAGGATCCGGCAAGAACATGGTTGCAATTGAACGGCTGCACAAGGTGTTGACGAAGGCAGGCATGACCGAGGGGTGGCGATCCCTGAACGGGGATCGCAGGCTCGAGTCCATGGCAACGGTTTACAGCCGAGGCAAAGGGACAACAAGAGTTCTGTCCCTTATGTTCAGTCCGTTCACCAACGTCCTTAGTGCACTTTCTAGTGCCTCGTCGTCTCTTTGTACATTCAGTTGTCTGTAATACTCAGTCAGTTCTAGTTACAACTGTGTACAACGAAATGCGCGGTTTGGTGACAATTCGGCACGATATGCAAAACGACATCCATGTGAAACGGGCATTTTTTTGCCAGTGACACTGCAGCCGCTGGTTGAACCTTGCAGGGAGAAGTGCCCCATGTCCCCAGTGGCAGATCGGACGTTCTCGAGCGTCCTTGCGCCTGTTGAGGAGGTCGCTGGCGAAGGTGCCAGGCGCAATGCCATCAGCAGGGAGGAATTCAATGCTGTGCTCCATAAGATCGATAGCCAGCTGAGGCCGCTGCCCGCAACGGCTCAGGTAAATTCACCTCGTCTTCGCGTTGACAGACTTTGTTCACCTCGTGTGCATTGAAGGGGATGACGTGTTGTGTTCTACCAGCACCGTTCCAGTGTCCAAAGCGCCTTGGTCACTGGCCCCCAAATGATGAAATAGGCCAAAAGTGGCCAGACGACAACACCCAATGATTTTTCATGGATGGTGGTGGTTTCGCACATGCATGGAACATTTCTGTTCCACACATATTGAAGACCTGCTCTGCTTCATGCTACGTCAAGCCAAGCCCCGTGTTGCACACTTGACTCCCCACTGCACCAAACACAGGAATTTGACACGCAGACGAGTCCAGCCCCTCTACTATCGCGAGAACCCCACCACCACATGATCCAACAGTTCTAACGCATTTTTCTTGCTGGTTCAAGGAGCTTTCCTTGGATCCCGTTTTCTTGCCGAGCTCCCTCCACAATCCATGGTTCCACTTGTGGACACTGCCACTTTTTTCATGTCTTTCATCGCGTTAACTGCTCTTCCTGATGGACAGGTTGCGCGCCAGGAGGGCGAGTACCTGGCCCGCCTCTTCAACACCGGCAGTATGACGCCAGGAGAAGATCTCTCCGAACGGATCAAGGCGTTCCGTTACGCCCACAAGGGCCAGCTGGCATATGTGGGCGAAGACAAGGCGGTGATCGACGCACCCGGCCTGGGGCCCCTGTGGGGCATCGCGGCTGGCCTCGTGTGGAAGGGCTTCGAGACGTACAGCCAGATCAGCATGAGGAACAAAATACTGGTGGGCTTCGATTGGGTGAAGAGCAAAGTCTTTGGGCGGGACGTGAGCCGCGTGTGACTTGACCATGCATCGTTCATCACCGATCGTTGATCCGTGGGTGGCACTGCATGCGCACTTCAGGAGATGGCTTTGGGAAGCAAACATGCGCTCGGATAAGATGGATGCGCATATGTGTGGTGCGCCGCTTTGCGCATTGAGAAGACAATTTGGGCAGGGTTGCTATTCACGACAGTGGCAATATCGTAAGCATGATAGTAATTTTGGAACAGAACAGATTTCAAGAGGCGAACTGCCGTTTTGGATTGGACTCGCAGGTTGGGCCCCTGGAGCTGTGGTTTGTGTCGTTTTCTGTGGACCACGCGCTCATCATGTGCAGGAAAGTGCTGCATCTTGTCCTTCAGGCTATAAGGCTCTGAAAGGGCGTCCCCTGAATGCCGAACGTTGTTTTTCATGCTTGCGGGGTGATGACACCTCTCCAGGATTTTTCTCTGGGATTCATGGGATTGGATTGCGAGTCGCCACATGTTCGAATTCACAGCCCCTTGGGCTAGGGCAAACTGGGACAGCAAAGCACTGGGATTGCCATTCGCATGTGGACCATATGACTCAACTCTTCAACGGCTGTTCATTGGATATTTGGGGATTGGCAGTTCTGGTTCCAACTGCCAGTTGTGCAAGCAGCAGGCATGTTGGGATCTTTGAAACAGGCTGAATCAGGATTTCTGATTCAAACTGTTGTGTCTTTGGGCAACGGGTGTGTCTGGGATCATTGAAGATTCAAACTGGTGGGTGCTAGGTATCAGGGCGTGTCTGGGATATTTATAGAACGTGAGTCCTGTCATTGACTCATGACAGGGTTTTTTGTCGAGACAGGAAAACGAGGAGCATGATGGGAACTGCTGGCAAGGCTGGCACAACTCTGTCTTCAATGGGGATTACTTTCCTGAAATGGGAGCAGCAAAGATAGTTTTGATGCACATTGTTGGAATTGTATTTGGAGCATTTTCATTTTTACCCTTTTGACACAGCGTGATCCTGTCTGTCTGTTGCCATCTTCAAGGCTTCCACGTTTGACCCCACTGAGCACCCAAACGAGCATGCCCTATCCACAGAGAGCCACCACGGAGCAGGCATCACACCAAATAAATAACAATGTATCCAGCCGTCAAAGGCCATGAGAGTGCCCAGCAGAATTGGCCTGCTGCCACATGTGGTGGCCACCTGAAAAGCAGAGTCCTCTGTTCAATGCAGACGATGGCCGTCAAGAGCAAAACGAGCCGACCAGCACGCCAAGCACCAACCCGACTGCCACCTGACACAAGCACAGAGGCATTTACCGTTTTTTTTGCCCACCGTGGCCTTTCCTCAACTCCCACAATATTTCATGCTGTGACCACATCTGGTACTCTTTGGAAGGCATTAGCTCGTAATGGTAGTACCATTATGGTGCCCATGACGCCCAGCTTCCGGGGTGCCAGAATTTTGATTTGCCGCCGTATTGGTGTTCCCTTCGGACTATTTACTGTGTTGCTATCTACGACAATCGTTTGGTATCTAATTTGGAGTGCTCGTGGCCAGTCGTATCTTCTGCAAAGCACGTCCACATCCTGGACCCACCTGTCTCCTGGAGTGACCAAGGACCTCTTTCAGTGCCTTCCTCTCTGCGAGCGCATGGCCCTCAGGGTACTCAGCTATGATCATGTTCAGCACCTCGGCTTGATAACCTGTCCATGCCCATGATGCCCCAGTCATTTTGTCTTCACACGAGAAAACACAGGGCCCGCGCCCCTTGCAGGTGTTGGCCGGCAAGACATTACCAAACTGCTTGCACTTCATGGTATTCATTTTCTTCCCCATCACGTGTTTGCAACACATTCTAAGCAGGGCCATTAGACATTGCAAGTGATGATAGGCACATGCATGATTGAAATGTTTCTTCCCCATTGATTCACTGCCTCTGTTGTTCACTAACTGCAGCAAGGATGTTGACTTTCAGCATAGCCAGTGACCTCACGACCAGTGAACCACGTGACAAGGGACACGAAAGGCCAACAAAGTATCTCTGCCATCTTGTGAGCGCATTGGAAACTCAGCCGTACAAGGTGCGAGCTGTTCAAACTATTGACAAAATAACGACTGATGGTGCTTACAGTAGGGCATGTGTCCTGGATTTTCTGCAACCCATTCATCGGTGCTCGCTGGTGAGAACATGACAGTGTGCTGACAGTATCATCATGTCCCCTTCAGGTGCAACTTGAGGGCCTCTGCTGCACTTTGCTTTTGAATGTGGCACACATGCACATTGTGATACAGTTTGTCGCAATATGCATGTGCACAAAGCTAGTGAATTGCCCAGTTGGCTTGCTGCGTTGGTGATGTGTTAGGCTTATGAGCAAGAGCAGCTTGTGGCTTAACACACCAAATGCCAAACAGAGGGTGCATAGCCTGCACATCCTGTTGTTTGGTTTCAGATTGACCATGTTGGGCCCATCCAGAGCCGCATTATCCAGCCAGTGGACACAACGGACATCAGGTGGTGTTTGCAGTTGCATGAGAGACTGCCAGGACGATGCTCTTCGGTGCTGAACTTCCAAGTGATCCAATTAATACCCACAGCACGACTCTTAAACGTGATGCAAAATTATGGAATCCAAAAAAGAACAGCCACAGCACAGAAGCACCTCTGCATGTCCATATACTTTTGCTAGGTCAGTGTCGGTAAGAGACAACTTCAAATGATATACCGCTGTCAATGCATCTACCAATCAATGGAATGCCACAGATAATACTAAACACAACAAGAACAGTGAGGCATCATACAGTAATGTGCCGCTCAGTTCTAAGAAACAGCACTGCTCACCGGCGTGTCGGCGTATGCCTGCAGCATCATACATCACAATGGCACTGAAGGCTGCACAAACGGCGAAAAGAGCGCAGCCCACCCCATGAGTCATTGCTACAGCTGTCGTCACAGCCTAGGGAGCAGAAGACAAAAGCTTATAACTTCAGTCTTATAGCACTCGTCAAAATTGGGCAATGGGTTCCCAGTCACCCACAACAGAACAGTGAAGGGGCACTCTGTAAGGACCATTGCCTTGTCCAAGAACATCCATGTGAATTCTTCTGATTGCAACTTTTTTGCAGAGGACAATATGCTCAGTGTGACTCGCATGTTTTGCCTGCGGTGACTACAAACAGCCAGATGGGGCATAGCAAGGCTGATCGATCGAACAAGCTCAAGAAGGCACATGCCAATTCGGATGGATGCTGGCAACAGTCAGTGGCCCAAGGTGAATGCAGACCAGTAGTGCTTTGCAGGGGCTTTGATTTTGATGAACTATGCGCTCGGGAATGACTGAGAGAATAATGCATAAACGAGTGAATCAACAAATAGCAAATAAACAAATAAACAAATAAATAGATAATACAACTAAAATAAATAAAACAAACAAATAATGAATAAATGGATAACTAACAATTTTTCTGGCAAAAACTAAGGATAGAGCATAGAGAGAAAAAAAAGCTTCACCAGTTCAAATGGCGATGGGAGTCCGCTCACCGTGCACATCGCAGAGTGGGAGGATGGCATTCCCCCAGAGTAAAACATGGCCATGAGCTCGAACTTTCCCGTCTTGTACCAGTTGGTGATGATCTGCACATGGTGCAGCTTCATCAGGAAAGAATGGCATGAACAACAACCTGACATGCAGTGATCAAAGGCCCTGATGCAGCAGGAATGCCACACAATCGTGGACCAAAAGCACTGTCTGTCCAACTTTCGCAAATGAAGGGCAGGTGACAATGGCCGAAATCCACAGCACATTCCCATACGCAGGCTGAGTGGCACATATTTGGCTGCACTGACTTTTGCCACGCCAGCCCCAGTGGCAGCTCTTCCAATAACTGGCTGCATGCCAAAGTTGCCTGCCAGTCAATTTTGCTCTGGTGCCCATGCTATGTGCTGGGCAATGCCTCATGAGAATGTGCCACACAAGCCTGTGACAAAGGCGAACAACGCCCTTTGGTGTGTACGGATCTATGCTTTCAGGGGGAATGCGTGAGCGGGAGTCGGATGCTGCCATGTTTCTCAACGCCATCAAGGCACTAGGGCTTTGCCTGTCATCTGTAATTGACAAGTATGCTTGCAACATTCAGCACCAGTCAATACGCATTCACTGGCCAAACTGCCCATCCTACAAGATAGCTGCCTATTCCTCAACAGTGTTCCTAAACAGTGCAGCTTTGCGGCAAAATGGGTATCAGTTGCAGCATAAGCTGCACTTCGGTTGGGCAAGAGAGTACCAGTTTTGGTACCAGTTTTCAATGGCTTTGGTGCCCAACTTGTGCCCACCTTAAGGAGCTGGGCCAGGGCCCATGCAGAGAATCCCGCCATGAATATGTTGTTTGATTTCAGGGCGCTCCAACTACCAGCAGGGAAGACAGGCAGCAGGGACGCAGATGCCAGAAAGAGGGGAAGCTTCACTACCTTTGTCCTGCATGCTAGAACACATGGGTTGGACCAAAGCAATAGTTGTGACACAGAAAAACGTACACTGTCCATGCTGACTACGTCTGGATGTCAGCATAGCCGCAAGCATTTGTTCTGTGAATGGGGCGGCAGCAAGGGAGGTCAGAAGAGTTTGGTACATCTGAAGCTGTGTACATGTTTGAGATTCACTTCATGGTAACATCTGTGGCTGTTTGTTGCCAGCATGGGTTCATATGTGGGGCTGACACCAAAGTGCACCCTCACAACCACTTGACATTCTGCACATTCTCCACCTTCACATATGGCCCCTTTGCAAAGCAATCCCAGGGATGCCCATGTGGGCTGTCCCATGGTGGATGCCGTAGGGCCCACTAGGGAAGGTCCATGTGGGCATTCATGGGAGGGCCATTTGAAATTCTGGCAGACTGGCAAAGTGGGCGCGGGGCACTGAATCCCCACGATTTGCAATATGCAACTTTGGCCCTGGCCCTACCATACTTGGCAAAGGGCATCTGTACCACACTGCACTATGCTTATACCAACATTGCTGACATTTCTTCAACGGATG